TTTAAATTTTAATTTTGGGCACGAAATAATGTTTTTTGTTAGATGTGAACGGGCATGTGATAGAGTAGACCAAATGTATTTAAAATTCGACCTTGAAGGTGAAATTGTTCACTTTGGAACAAACGGGGACCAAAAGTGGAATCGAACCTAACATGAGAAACGAAAAATGTAATTCTTCCCGAAAAAAATACCTTAAAAACCACAAGGAGGAAAATATTTGCACGGGGAGATTTGAAAAGACATGGACCAGGGGCGGAACCAGAATTTCTGGTTGGGAGCGTGGGTAGACAGGACCACGGTTCAGTTCGGTTTCGGTTTCGGTTCTAAACCGGCGGTTCCGATTCGGATTTTGGAGGAACCAGAACCGAACCGAATATTTCCGGTTCTTTATGATTCGGTTCCAAACGGTTCCCGGTTCTAACAGTAGAATCGGCCAGTTATTATTATATTTAACTTAAAAAATACTTTAAAATATAGTTAATTTTTTTTAAACATTGGAAATAATACTTAAAAAACTTTTTTTTTTTAAATACTGAAAGTTTTTTAAAAATACTTAAAAAAATATTTTTGTACTTTTAAAAAAAATTGAACGAATTAGTGGTACTTTTAAAAAATAAAAAAGGAAAAGGAAAGAAAGTGATAGGACTTAGAAAACGGAAAAGGAACGAAATTGAAAGGGCTTAAAAAATGAAAAGGAAAGAATTAGTTGTAGTTATAATTAATATTTAATTTTTATTTAAGAAAAAACATGTTAGAGCGGTCCTAAGGGGCGGTTAACTGTTACAAAAGTGGGGAATCGGAACCGAACCGATTTATTCGGTTCCGATTCTGGTCAAACCAGTTCCGATTCGGTTAACAAACCGTTAACCCCGGTTTGTTTCCGGTTCTAACCGAACCGGTGGTCATGACTAGGCGTGGGGCGATAATGTTATTTTTGGGGCTCGGGAGCAGCGTCCCAAAATAAATTAAGAATATTTATTGAAATTCATAAAAATAAGTATATATTTTTTATATATATTTTTTTTTATTACAAAAAATCAAAATTTATTATGTGCAAAATATATGATAATTTTTATGTGCAAAATATATGAAATTAAAGACTAGAAAATCTAAGTAGATTCGGTGAACACATAAGATTGCTAAAAAAACATGTTAATTCTGAATTAGGTAAAAAAAATTGGCTGGTAGCATGAGAACGTAAAATAATTAAAAGAATTGAATATAATAAAATAAAATAAAAATTCTAATTAAAGTAAAGAATATTTTTATAGTTTTTTTTTAATCGTTGGCTTTAGTAAACATTAGATATTTAATTTAAAAAGAACGATTTTATTAAATTAATTTTAATATAAAAAATAAATTAAATAATAAAAAAAGTTATGTTGCAGGAGGGGGAAATACACAACATTTACCAAAAAACAATAATAGAAAAAAGCACTGCTGATAGTTTTTCTTTTGGAGTTCTCAGATGGCATATATGGATGGCTATGTGTTGATGTGAAATAAAAAAAAATCATCTAAAATACAGTAGAACCTCGATAAATTAATAACCTCATTTAAATAATAATTTCTTATAGTCCTGACTCAGGTAAAAAAATACTAAATTATTATATCGATAATTCAATATGTTGCTAAATTAATTGAATCTTGCGAGTCCCGATTGTATTAATTTATAGAGGTTTCACTGTAAATGAAACTAGGAATTAAAATAGGGTAAAGGCTGGGCATGTGGCATTGCCGGAAATCTTATAATGGCTTAAAACACAGATAAGCTTGTGTCCTCTGCTGATGACATGAATCCCATGCCTGGTCTTGTAAAAGAAACTCCCATGCATGGATTTTATTTTTGTTTTTGCCATTTAGCGATCGAGGTGGGGTAGGGGTGGAGGGTTTCGGTTTTGGAGTGCGACACATTTCTGTTCTTCACATGGTAGCCCCATTTATCAACCCTGATAATTGCTGGTAATGTAGGTCCATTTCTATCTTTGAGCATGCTTCGTCGTGCAGTCGCAAATCGAGGAATTCACTCGAGCGTTTTTTAAGTTGATTGTACTTAAAAAAAATATAACTAGCACTAAGTAAAAATGATTGACTAATCTTTTTTTTTTCTTTTTTCTTTTCATATTATCAATCAAGGCTCAAACATGGTTTTACCTCGCGGTTACTTATTAATGGAGAGTTATATATGCTACGTCATGTTATTTATACCGAGTGGATTTGAACTGTAAATTTGATTAAATAACTACGCCCACTATGACACATGCATATGGATATGTGTAATTATGTGTAGATCTACAGTATGGCTCTATGGTATCAACTTTAATAATATTTACAAATATAACCTTTTATTTTATAACATAATTATTATGCATGAACAATAATAAAAAATACTTATTTTTTAAAAAATATGCACATATTTTATCACACTAGAAAGATCTACCTTAGAGTTTAATTTGAACTAAAAAATGAATTTAAACATATTGTATAATTTTACTAAATTTAATGTGTTTAATATTCAACTTTAATTAAAATTAAGGGGCTATATGACAAATACCCCTTATTGAATTTTGACTTATTGATAAATCCATTTTTTTTAATTGACATTTGTTATAAACTCAATTGATGGAAATTATTCAAAATGCCCCGATTTAATATTACTGAAAATTACTATATTATATTATTTTGAAAAATTCATTATTTTTTAGTACATATTCGAATCCCCCTATTTTCTCCCCCAAACCATCCCCAAATCTCTCATACAGCAAGTTCAATTTAAGTCTTATCATTTCTTTACATGGTTTTTTTATATCACTTTAGAACAAAAATTGATTTCTTTTATTTCACTTTTTTAACTGGTTCATATTCTACAAAACTTAATTCCATTACATAGTCCTCGAAAACCATTAATTTATCCGAAAA